TCCAGTGTGGAACTCCAAGGAAACCAAGAAGTTGACATTTGATCCCAGGTCATAAAGAAGTTCATTATTTAGTAGTTGGTTCACTTGGTTTATAAGTTACTGAGATGGTATAGTATGAGGATCCCCAAAATATGTGCTCTCCTTGGGGTCATCCCCACAGCTCACCATGCCACATGCTCAGCTTTCTGAACAGGTGTCCATATTTATCAAGGCTTGAATGTGGGTCTTCCATGAGGTGTCCATATTTATCAAGGCTTGAATGTGGGTCTTCCATGAGGCAAGCTTTGCCCAGACTAGAGTATTCCTATTGATTTCGTATACTGTTAGCTTTTACAAGGGAACACAGCCATGATCTTGTGTCATGGTGAGTTTCAGAGGACATTCCGTTCACAGAGTTCTGCAGAGACAGCACCTGGCCAGAGAACATTTCAGGCATGCTGTTCAGTCGCAGAGCTGTTCTTGGTTTCCAGCACAGCTTGGTGGTCTCTTTGGTCTTGAATGATAATGACACTGAGTTGATCCTCCTATAGCTACCAAAGAAGCAAAAGAGTAGGAGAGAAGGGAGGGGTAGAGGAAACAGCAGAAGAGGAGCAAAGAGCACCCAGAACTCCATATACTGGGAATGAAGCAGTGAATAAGACCAGACTCTGTCTTCATGATTTGACTATCTTTTTTTTTCTTCTTTCCCCCCCGATACTGAATCCAGAGGCATTCTACCTCTTAGTTACATTCCTAGTCCCTTTTTACATTTTATTTTGAGATAGGGTCTCACTAAATTACCCAGGCTGATCTCAAAACTTGTGATCCTCCTGCCTCCTACTTGAGTAGCTGGGATTACAGGCATGTGCCACCAAGCCTGGCCATGGTGTTAACATGCTAGTGAATGGGTCAGCAGGCTTTTCATAAGGGAATGTATGTAATGGAAATTTTCAACTTTTTAGGTTATATGGTATCTACTTAAAACTACTCAACTTGGGTTCTGTGGCCCAGAAGCAGTCACAGACAATACATAAAGGAACAGGGGAGGCTGGATATGGCCTGTAGATCATTGGGTGTCAACCCTTCCAGGGAGTAAACAGAGGGATGTATTATTAGAAGGACCTAAAAACAGCTTCAGGTGCCTTTTAGTAAATCCCAATATCACTTGTTCCCTTTATTCTGTTTTACAGTTGGGACTTGAAATAACTCTAGCCGGGACAGTAGATGTAATCTAAGGTCAGAGAATGGGAACCATTTTCAAGTTAGAATCTTTAATTTTTTATCTCCAGCATACAAGATAATCCCTACCAATAACAATTGGCAGCAGCCAACCTGCAGGAAGGTATGACAGAGCCTAGGATTTTACCTGCCTCTCCCAACCACCTTGCTTCATGCAAGATAATTTATAGGCAAAGCACCAGTTCTTCCCTAAACCAGCAGGTGTCAGGACCTGGCTCTGAATATCCATGCTGGTTCCCTCAGCTAGGGAGCTCTATAGAAACAAAATAGCGAGATCTGAAGGTTGGTTCATTTTTTAGTTTGGGTTCTTGGGTGAAAACCAGGGTAGAATCAGGAAAGCCCATTTATTTGTAGTCTCCATGTTGAAGAGGAGTATCCAGTGATGTTTACCACCAGAGAGATGATGAACTTTGAGAACTACAGAATGCTAAAGTAACTTTACACTTCATTATTTCAATTGTCCTCATTCTCTGAAATTCTAAACCAATTATTTTTCTGTTCAGTTATAGGCATAGCTCTTCTCCCCATCCTAGAGGCTCAAGACCTCAGAATCCTCTTCCTCCTTCTTCACATCCTGCATTCTGCCATTTGCTGAGACACAGCTTCCCACACTACAAGGTCATTCCCAATTCTCCCTCTCTCCTTGCTTTTTATCACTGCCCTTTATCATTTCTGCCTCGGTGATATTCCAGCTCCTAAGTGGGCTGGCCTATCCTCTCCCACGCCCATTGAACACTCCATTCTGTTTCCTCTCCTGCTTGGGCTGCCTCCCCACTCCAGGCCATACCACCATACTCCTCACCCTGACTGGGGTGGGACTTTCCACCCCAGGCCACCTTCCTACATGGACCTTCTACTCACCTCACCTGGGCTCCTTCAGACTGCTCAAGACCACAGAGGCTCTCCTTAGCCCCACCCTGTCTACCCAACCTAACAGCCTTAGGAATGGATTTGTTTAGGAAAGAAAGGGGACAGAAGAGGAAAGGGAAGAGGAAATGCCACTTCCGTGAAGCCAAACTTGAAAAGTTTGGGAAGAAAACAGTAGATATTGTTTTCATTATGTTGTAATGAGGTTTTCTTAATCAGTATATTGGTTGCTAATACACTAACTATATGACCAGGGACTATTTATGCTGTTTAAGTACTTTACATATTTAAAATGTGTAATAATCCTTATACTGAGACTTCATCCTGAATTTAGTAGCCTAGTTAAAAACCAAACTGACCTAGAATGTGTGAAGATCCTGGGTCAGAAATCACACATGTGGTTGATTTGCAACCTTAGCTGAGCATTCTGAGAAGACTCTAGAACAGGGGGAAAAAATAAAAGAATAACAAGCCTCCATCTCTACTATTGTAACAGATATAGGGGCCAAGACTAAAGGGAGGTTCTTGTCTTTAAACCACAACCAAGAGATCCTAGAACAAGAAACTCTTTATCTTAAAGTTTTCATCCTCCTTGAAAACAACCAGGATGATGGAAGAAATATGGTCCACTTTAACATCAGTGCACCAATGGGCCGCCTCCTTTTGGACTAGATTATTTCTCCACGAGAAGGAGCCCATGAGATGATCAGCAGCATTAACAGAGCTCTGAGTGTTTCTCCAGGAAAAATTTCACCATAATACCTTTAAATAAACTTGGAAAAACTAAAATTAAAGTAAATGGGAAATTCTGCCACAACTCTGATGGGTACTATGCCACCCTATCTACCATGAGCCCCATTTTAAAAAGCCAACAAATTTCTTAGAGCTAAAAGGTCATTTCTATGGTGAGGGAGGGGGTTTCAAGTCAAGTTCAAGAGTTTTCTATATCTTAACCTCTTCAATGGTATGGAGATCATTTTCAGAAAAACACACCTTTTACCTTGTGATACTGCTCCAGTAAACTTGCTAGGGCAAGACTTACAAACTAAAAGGCACATAAAATTCTCTTCAGAGAAATAATCACAGTGTTTTCATTCCCCTGAACCAGAAATGTTATATTCTCTACTGGCAGAAATTAATTATATGAAAATTCAAGCCCACAATACCCCTGACCTTTCAAAAATACCTGAATGTTTATGGACCTCTTCTTTGACTGATACAGGAAAGGTTAAAGAAGGAACCTCCATCTATTTGGAGTTCAAATTGATTATTCAAAAACTTTGCCTAAATTGCCCTGCTATCCACTAACCCCTAATGCAATCCAGGGACTCTCACTGATTATAAAGGACTTAACTAAACAAGGACTTACAAATCTGTGTACCCATCCTGATAGAACTCCAGTCCTACAAGTTGAAAAACCAAAAGGGTGAAGTTGAAATTCTGATAATTAATAAAATTATGATACTGAGGTTTCCTATGGGTCTAAACCCAAATACTTTATTGTCCAATGTGCCTGCTGATTCAAAATGGTTCATAGTTCATAGACCTTTATTTAGCTTTCTTTAGTATTCTAGTTGAAAAGAAAGTCAGTTTTTGTCTGCCTGTCCTGAAATGTCAACAGTGAACCTGGACTGTAATGCTACAGGGTTTGCTGAAGCCCTTTCTTATTTGTCTCAGGCATTGCATGAGGACTAGCAGCCCTGCAGCCCTTCTGAATCCTCCCCAAATTCAGTAGGCAGATGATAGGTTGCTATGTTCTCCCATAAGGAGTGGTCTGAAACAAATTCCATTTACATTTACCTCTTACAGCAACTGGCACATAAAAGTAACAGGGTTTCAGTGGAAAACTACAATTTTCAAGGGGAAAAAAATCTGCTCTTTAGGACATGATCTGACTGTTGAAAAGATTTCCTTTCACCAGAGAGAATAAAACTATTAGAAGTTTTCCCTGGCTTACAACCAAAAGGCAATTAAGAAGCCTTTTTGGACTTGCAAGATACTACAGATCCTGGGTCCTAAATTTTTTCTCAATGTCCTCACTAGTGTATGAGGTCACTAGAATTACAATACCAGAGGCTTCACTTTGGGAAAATAGTCGTGGGCATGCTTTTAACCAAGTAAAACTGGCTTTACAATAGACCCTAGCTTTAGAACTTCCAAATTATGCTAAACCTTTTACTCATTTGTTTATGAACATGCAGTCAGGCAGTAGGAGTTCTTACCCAAGAGCATGGGGAAAACATAGATCCATCACATATTATAACTTACTGTTAGATCCAGTAGCTAAAGAATGTCCTAATTACTTAAAAGCAGCAGCAGCAAATAAAGGTTCCATCTGAGCTAGTCTTAGGAAATTAAGTTTATTTACAAGTCCTTGCATTCTGTAGAACGTCTATTAAATCAAAACTGAGCCTTTTTTAGCAATTGGCAATTCATGGAACTCTCCTCCTGTCTCCCTCTAATCTCCATGCACATTACAGCTCAACTCCACCTTTGTACTACCTCTGCCTTATGATGATGAAGGCTATTATTATGTGAGTGTAGTTTCAGGAACAGTTGCCCCTTGTGTTAATTTATAAGAGATTCCATTGGATAGTCCTGGGTTTATACTCTTTGCTGACAGGTCTTATTCCAAAATACCAGGCAGGGCAGTATTATAACCCAAAATGAGTTACTAGAAAAGGAAACTTCCCCAATCGAAGTCAGCTCAAACTGCCATGCTTTTGCTTTCACTCAAGCTCCATATTTATACCGAAGGTAGCTATACTTTTTCCACGATTTTTTGCATATTATAAAAACAAGGGGTTTCTTCTAGCAGTAACCCTATGCAACAACAGACTCCAAGTAGATGCTGCCTTCTGCTATCCTATTACCATTGCAAATCACCATTAGTGAGAATAGTGATACAACATACCAGCACCTCTAGGACATATTAATTGGCATATTAATTCGGAAGCTCATGCCTATAAATCTGAACCTGAATATCATGGATAGCTCTGGTACATTTTTATGCAGAATCTTAGTATGGAAACTAGTAGGATATGCAATTTAAATGAACTCCCTAGGACTGATCCAAGTCAACTTCCCTATGATTATCTATTTAACCTCCTCCTCCTCCTTCACCTCCTTCTTTTCTCACTTCTTCTCCTTCTTCTTTCTTGTTTCCTTCTGTCATAACCCTTTCCCTCTCCTTACTAGAGAATCCATGGGACCATAATCTGTGGTTGGCTTTAGCAAAGGTTATGCTTTAGCAAGACACTAGAGTAATTGTTGTTTTGGGGACTAATGCCCCTGAATCAGGAAACAATTCCAGTAATGTTGATTTGGGATCTTTCTGATTTCCTTGTGTAGGCACTCATAACTACAAACTTTCCTTCATAGTGTCCCAGAGGTTCTGGTATGTTGTATCACTATTCTCATTTGATTCTAAGAATTTCTTAATCTCTCTCCTGATTTCTTCTAACAACCATTCATCATTCACATCCTTGGTATTCCAGACACAATTGCTATTTGCTTTTCTACATTTACTGGAAAGAGTACTCTGACCTTTCCAATGAATATACCAATTGTTCCAAAGAGTGATGCTTACAAAAGCTGTCTTGTGCTTCTGGGATCATGTATTCAAGACATGGAGACTACCTATGCAGGTACAATTAATTATCTGTAAAATGTCATTGAAGATCATTTACTTAGGTTTCTTTGCACTCTATGTAGTTATGTACCCTTACAGTATGTTATAAAGGGACTACAAAAAGTAAATTTCTTACTAGACCTTAAAGATTTACTCTGACAAGTAATTTTCTCTATAATTAGCTTATCCAGAGTTTCAAAAATTCCTCAGCTGCCTCCACATCAGCACTTCAAGATTCATCATTCACTTTCACATTATGTAATGAATAATGATTTTTAAAAATCACTTAAACCACCCAGAGATAAGAGTAAATTCAACAGCATAGTTAGATTCAGCCTTTCTTTCAACATTGCAAATAAATATTTTGTTCTGGCCATGATCATTGTGGTACTGAAAGAGATATGTGTCTGTGTCTGGTCTTTAATTCAGTTCTAAGAAGTTTCTTCGTAAGTGATATAAGTCCTTTTGAATTTTTGTGAGTCTCTGTGCTTGTCAGTTTTTTTTGTCACTGTGATAAAATACCTGAGAAAAACAATTTACAGGAGGAAATACTTATTATGCATCATGATTTCAGGGATTTCAGTCCATGGTCAACTGGCTCCATTGTTTCTAAGCCTGTGATGTGGCTGAACATCATGACAGAAGGGAAGGCAGAACAAAGCTGCTCACCTCATGGCAGCAGGAAACAGAGAGAGGGGAAGAGAGAAGCTGGCTGTAAGTGACCTAATTCCTTCAACTAGGCCCCACCTCCTTAAATTTCCACCTCCTAAGAGCCCATGAAGCTATGAATCATCGATGGATTAATCCATTGTTGAGGTCAGAGCCCTCAGGACCCACACATTTCCCCAAGGTCCCACCTCTGAATACTGCTTCACTGGGGGCCAAACCTTCAATGCATGAGCTTTGGGAGGACATTCCAGACAAACCATATTGCAGTCTCAATACCTGCAATGAAGCATTTGTCACTTTGTTGTTGTTCTTCAAGATGATAACTCTGATGGAACAAGACATAACTGACTGGCACACAGTAACCATGACAGACTTCCCAACTTCATAGTACTTACTCACTTTTAATTTTATTTCCAGGTCCCTCACTTGATTTGGCCTTTTACTGGTAATATTAATAAGGAATTTTATATGTTTAGGGATCATGGAATAAAACAACAATAGATTATATCAAGCATAAGAGAGAATGATGCAATCACAAGACAGTAAATTCGAGATGTATGAGGCTGCTGCAGGTATAACAGAACATACTGTTTTACAGTAAAGTCTGTTTAAAAGAATAAAGAGAACACTCTAAAATCACAATAAAGGGACTGGGGAGGTATCTCAGAGGTAGAAGCCCTAGGTCTGATCCCCAGCACCATAAAAAATAAATACAAATAAGAAGTATTGTATACTAAATATATAAATGAGTAATATAGTCATTTTATTATCAGTATTAAGTATTATATACTATACATAATTGTATTGCTATGCTTTTATATGATGGGCAGTACATCAGGATTATTTATGCTAACATCACCACAAACACGTAATGCATTGTGCCACAATGATGTCACTAGATGGTGTGATTTTTTCAACTCCAGTTATAATCTTATGGGATCACTATCATATATGTAGTCTGTCATTGAGTGAAATGTCATATATGATACATGACTCTTCCTTCCAAAATCAGAAGCCCAAGCTGTGAATAACCAAAATTAGTACCAACCTTGAAATAGATGAAGATGAGTTAGTTTCCTTCCCTGGAAAATGTTCCACTGGGGTTGCTGGGGGCTCACTCTTGGTTGTGGTGGGTGGTGGTTGTATATAATTTGAAGATAACTTTTAGGGAGATATCTTGGATTTTGTGGCCAAGCATGTCTCCTAGGAGTTCAGAAAAGTAGAATCCACTGTCTGAAAGATGGAGAAAAACATTCATGTTTAACAAAAATTCTTAATGAAACATATATTGCAACTCTAGATCTCTCTATGCTCATGTTAGGAGCTGAATGAAACTGAGGACTGTACTTATTTTTCCCCTGATTTTACTGCTCCAGAAATCTTAATTTAAAAGGTGTCTGACTTTTTTACTTACACTTTTTTAAAAAGTATACTGCCACTTCTCTAAACACTACCACTAAATACATTGAGGAAGTTTCCAAGAATAAAGGAACACAAGATGTGTTTATGGGAGTAGCCACCAGTTGGTTTGCAGGCATCTTGAATGGTGGATAAGCCTGGCTATTCCAAAGTGTCCAAATCTTTATGTTTATATTTACTGGGACTCCAGGGTGCTACAACTTGTGTTACCAAGATAAATAAATAAAAAAATGGATATCTTTTTAAATCAGGCAACTTTCCAGTGAATAGTCCTCAATTGCCATCATGTTCCAAAGGCTATGATCAATAAGACTCAAGTCCATTAAACTATCTTTATTGCCTGAACTTTGAATGGTTTGATTTGACTAGTTTGATTCATGGAGACTCCTATTAAGAAATGTACTTCCTTAATAGTTGGGGAATGTGCAGTGTCTTGGTATTGCCCCCTGATAGTCATCATAATAGTCTCCCTCATGTGTCATAAACTCTGGAAATTTTTAAATATTCTTACACAGGCTTCCTTTATTCATCAAATGATCTTCTTATGGTTAGAATAACAAAAAGATGAAGAGTCACCAGCTAATTTGGCATTGTGAATTGTGTATGCTACACTGAGAACAAATAAGTCCATTATCATGGTGATAGAAAGTGGTATCAGTGCCCAGGGTCTTGATCAATCTCTCAAGATTGAAAGTCTGAACACAAGGTGAGAGTTATTAAATGGACTAAAGCTGCCTTCATATGTAGCAAGCTGTAACCCAACTTTGCTGTAACCTAATTTGAGAGCAGATTCTTGAAATAGGTAGCTGAGTCTCCACTAATCATAACAGCCAAGCTTTTTCACCAATCAGAGACTGCAAACTGACAAAACAAGTCCAAATTAGGTAAATGCTAACTGTAACCAATCAGGCTATTCCTATGTGTCCCTTCTGCTTTCTGGCTGTAAATATTCCCTGCACACATTGTGGAATGGAGCTATCTGAAGTGCTTTTGGTCCTCAGTGCTGATTCATGAAATTTTTTCTGCTCAATTCAATTTTATTAATTTAATTACCTATGGTCTTTCTTTTCATTAAGCTGTCTAGTAAGTTAAATTTCCTCAAAAGAGCAAGCTGGAACCTTGCATAGGAAACACCTTGTTAGATATACAGATGATAGGAGGACCAGGAATCCTTCCTGCAAGCTTGGGATGGGCTCCTCACTGACCCATTCAGGATACTTTCTCTAGGAGACACAGAAAGCAAGATTACCAGACCTGAAAAACAGCTGGATTATGTCAGATGGATCAGGACAAGTGACTATTTACAAAGCAGAATTATAACTCCATAGAATCATCTGATTCCCACCAAGGTTACAAACAGTTCCCAGGGCATTTTAGACCCATAAACTAACTAGCTACTCACTAGCTAACATCCAGGGATCAAGGATCAGATGTTGCATAACACAGCACATGACCAACAGCAGAAACTCACTCACACAATCTTCCTTTGGCAATGGGCCTTGGCTTTCAAAACCACATTCTACTTGGATTTGCTTGTGAATTTTTTAAACAGCTATAATTAATGAATGTCTATAACTGATATTCCTTTTTTTTCCATGAAAAGTTGTCCAGATACTTGAAACTGTTTGGGTAGAGGTTAACTGGGATACCTGAACCCTGGAACTTACAAAACCAGAGAGGGACAGAAATGAATTTGGAATTCATCAAAGGATGCAGCTGTACCATTGAGAAGGTATTTTAAAGATTTAATATTTTTGACAATATTGAGCATGTTCAAGAAACAACCTGAGCTACTCGGAGAGCCAATAAAAAAGTGAATGTTTCAGGAACTAGCCTAGGGGAAGAGGGAAACTCAATGCCAGAGCCAGGATCAGGCTCAAATCCTAATGGCCCAGTCCTGTCTTCAGCCCCTGTTCACACTTCTCTCCCTTTTAATGAAAAAGGGCAGCCAGAGAAGCAGAAAGGAATGGAACAAAAGCCAGAGCTGCATGTGTACACTTGTCAGACTCTTTACTCAAAGGCACAGTGTTTCTACACTTACAGCCAAAGAGCTAGAAGGAGGGAATGGAATCTCTTGGGCAGTGATTACTGCACTAGTGAAAAACAAACCTTGGGACCACAGGGCAGGAGGGATAATAAGGTTGAAATAATGCTGAAGCCACCTGCACAGAGCCCTGGTGTGGCCCTCTAGGGTTCCCCTCCATGGAATCAGGTGTATACCTCCCCAGCAGAGACGCCCCTGCCCCCTGCAGCACCCAGCACTCAGGACAGAGGCTGCAGGAACAGGGCAATTGCCTTCACCATTCACCACACCAGCAGGGTTCCATGACAAGTCCAATGAATAAATGTGTTTTGTTTAACCTTCGGAGGTGAAAAGAATGGCAGATAGAAACCAAGCTGGAAAAATAAGACTAAGAACTTTAGAAAGCTAAAGAAACATGAGGCCTGATGCATGGGAATAAACCCTCTGGTGCTGATACTCCTGGACCTCTGGGAGCAGCCTCAGTTCATACAGGGAGGCCAGACACTGGCTTCTTGTTTGGTTAAGGTTGAAAGGCCTGTGAAAGTAAAGGAGTTGGGCATTTAGGGACACTGTTCTTCCATCAGAAAAAGATTCCTAGCTTTTAGATAAAGTTTCAAACATGCCAACTCATATGCCCACCATTTCATCTTCTAACTTCATTTTGAGAAAGCAAAAGTTAAAGAAGGGGCCATTTATGGTTAGTAAGAGAAGAAAGAGAGATGATAGACTTCTTTAAAACCACAGGAGGCCTTTGTCAATCACAGTCACAAAGGAGGTTGGTAAGAATTTTATCAAGGGGGTCCTGGGCCCCAGGCCCAGACAGCCACACTCCCATATTTATGTTGCTATGGATCCCTCAGTCACAGCTACCCTTTACTGGACAGTCCTAAACAAGGCCTTCCAAGCTGGCCGAAGATCTCCTGGAGAGTAGTGCCAGCCCTGCCTTTCCAAATTCTTCACCACTCTCAGCCAAGTTTTGGTTTTTGTTGGGTTGCTGCTGTTGTTGAACCCAGGGGTGCTTAACCACTGAGCCACATCTCCAGCCTCTTTTATTTTTTATTTTGAGACAGCCAGTTTCTGAGGCTGGCTTTGAATTTGCTATCCTCCTTCCTCTGCCTCCCAAGCCGCTAGGATTACAGGCCTGAGCCACAAAGCCCAGCCCCGTTCAGTTTTGCCTGGCTCCTGACCCTCAGTGATGGTGCTGTTTGTGGCCACAACTCCAGTCACTGCCTGTAGGACTTGTTGTGGTTATTCGATCTTGGCAGCACTGACCCTTGGTTGACCTGCCACTGTTGACTCAGGCCCTTGCTTCCTCTTTCCTTGGAGGTTCTGGGGCAAGATAACTTTCTTTATTTCAGCCCCCACTTCCAGCTGCAGCTCACACATCCAAATTCCCCTCAGTCTGACCCCAGCACCTTTCCCCACAGTGTGCTTTTGAAGTTAGAAAAGGACCACCCTGTGATTATACCTCTATTTGTAATTTGTCCTATTTATTACACCTAATTTAATCTCCATTAAAATGTACATGGTTAATCTCATAGCCCAGATTCATTCTTCTTTAGTAATCCCTGTTCTGAGGTCAGAATTTAAGAGCACTCTCATTCAGGTTTTGTTAAGGACACATACTCAACTGCACTCAAAATTCTGCTATCTCTAACTTAAGAACTTTATTCCCTACCGTTTCTGAGCTCCAACTGAGGGCCAAGAAGCACAGTATGCACTAGGGAACCAAGCACAAGACATGGTTCCGGTTCTGTGGGGCTTACAGTCCAGTGGGAGAAAGACAAATACCCAGATGTCATGATTTAGTGTTTGTACCACTAAGAGGCAAGTGGAGGACGAATGCCCAACCCAAAGGAGCCGTGACTAAGCTAATTTTTGAACAAAAGAATAGCAAGGAAGAGGGAAGAAAGGGCAATATAGTAGGAGAGTGTTCTAAACAAGGAGTGGCATGGGAGTAAGAGACAGAAACAACCTGGCAAGTTCTGAGAGGTGCATCAGTGTTGTGAGTGAGCTTCACCATTAATACAGACAGAACACATTTGTATCTTTCCACAATGTTAGAATTTATTGACTAAAAATAAATTCACATGCTACATCATGTTCAATGCCATTAGTTCACCAAATACTCATGGTTCACTTGGTAGCCATGAGCAGGGCAATCACAGGTTCTTCTATTCCATTTCAATATTAATTACTAGTATTTATAACACTCAACTCAGACATCAACTTTACACAATGATATATAATTTACTGAAAAGCTAAGAAAGAGTTAACAGTGACCACAGAGCTTCAAGAGCTTGCACCACAAGAAAAGGCAGAGAGCAAATAAAAATGCAAAAGAGTCAGCTAATTTTAAACTGTGGAAAACTCTGTAGGATATATGACCCAGTTTTTTAGAAGGCATAGGTAGGGGGAGGAAAGGCCTACCTAAAAGAAAATGAAGTTATATAAACCTTTTGTAGTATCTCTTCATTCAAACAAACCAACTGCAAATAAATAAATAAACAAATATTATGAGGCAATTGAAAAAAAATGCAAAAGAATCACTCCCCGTGGTCAGATAAAATTAAGAATTGGCCCTAAGGACTCAGGATGCAGAGCTGTTCAGGGGAAAGTCCCCACAGCAGGCAGCTTTCAAGTAGGCCACACAAGAAAGGAGATGGAGCTTAGCTGAAGTCCCAGGAAAAAGTTGGGAGTATTTCTTGGAGTGGAACCACCATTTGACCCAGCTATCCTACTCCTCGGTCTATACCCAAAGGACTTAAAATCAGCATACTACAGGGACACAGCCACATCAATGTTTATAGCAGCTCAATTCACAATAACTAATCTGTAGAACCAACCTAGATGCCCTTCAATAGATGAATGGATAGAAACTGTGGCATATATACACAATGAAATACTACTCAGTGTTGAAAGACAATAAAATCATGGCATTTGCAGATAAATGGATGGAACTGCAGAATATCACACTAAGCAAAATAAGCCAATCCCCAAAAAACAAAAGCCAAATGTTCTGATAACTAGATGCCAATCCATAATGGGGGAGGCATGGGAAAAATGGAGGAACTGTGATTGGGCAAAGGGGAGGAAAGAGAGGGGAGGGAACATAGATAGAGGAAAGATGGTGGAATGTGATGGTATCATTACTCTAGGTACATGTAAGACTGCATGTATGGTATAACACTACATCAGGTACAGCCAAAGAAAAGAAAAGTTGTGCTTCAATTGTGTACAATGAATCAAAATGCTTTCTGCTGTCATATAGACCTAATTAGAACAAATAATTAATTTTTTAAAGAGTTGAAAGTTTGTAGCCTGTGAACCTTGTGCAGCATTCACTGTGATAAGGGGACAGTGTGTGCCAATGTACCCCTGCCTTAGGTGCCCTTCCTATTATGTGTTTCAATTGAGGGGGTTGCATCAGTTGATGGTCTGGTGTGTCTGATAAACTCACAGGCCTGGTTTCCCTAGTATGTGTTTGAGATGCCCATGCATCTGTGTGCCTCCGATTTAATTCACCAAGTTTACAGATGGTCTTTTCTTATTAGCACAATTAATTTGCTCATCAGTTCATGCCTTATGATTGTGCTGTGCAGCTGAGGGTTATTCTTTTCAGAAAGTTCTAGATATCCAACAGCTGGTGGTTACCAATTTGTCCAGAGAGGTTACCAAGTCACTCTGCCTTGGCACTTGCACTCAAAACAGAGTAACTCAGGGTAAACTGCTGCTTTATAAAATGGAGTGATTCCAGACTGGGCACTGCTATTCTATACAGCATGGAGTAACTCAGCCTGCTGACCACAATCACTTGGGCTAAGTAGGTTCTTCCAGGGAAGAAGACAAGATAGTGACAGAGCCATATCCTGGTAGGCCTTGGACTCCAGGCTAAGCAGGCTGTGGTGTATCCTGTGGTGTGCTTTGATTCTTAAACTTTAGTAAGCATAAGAATCACTGGGGGAGCTTGTTATAATTTTAGGTTTCTAAACCCTGAATGCAGAAATTTGGTTTCAGTAGATCAAGGGAGTGAACTCAGGGATTTGCATTTTCGTATTCCCCCACCATGAGTCTGATGAGAGGAGGGCTGGGCAACACTTTTCCAAACCCAGATGTAGGAGATATGAAGCCCTAAAGGGGCAGAAGGATCAGATCTGTTTCAGAAAAATCTCTCTGGCAGAAAGTATTCCACATGTGCTC